AGCTAATTTTGCTTTTGCTAAGAGCTGTTTCATAAATTGTGCTTTATAGCATATACCTCATTTATTTTTCAAATTAAAAATATTGTATAATAAATTGTAATAATTTGTAATATTGTATAATAAGATTAAAAATATTGCCAAAATGAAACTTTATAATATGACAGCAAAAAATAATAATGTTTTATTTTAATGTTATTTTTTAAATATAATTTTAATATATTACCATTATTTTAATGAAATTTATCAATGTTACGATGTTTTAAAAAAAATCGTCGAAAAATTCTCAGATCTCGGAGTTAAAAATTTTCTATAGAAACCAATCTTAAAATCGCAGAAATGTTGATAAGTCGCCAAATTTAGAACCATTTCATAAAAAATTCACATCCCCAAAGCGAAAAGTTGTTTAAGAGCTCTTTATTAGAAAAAATGAATCTTGAAATGCTTATGTTTCACTTCTTGCTTAGAAATTCGAGTATCCCATCATTTTATTAGAAACAGAAACAAATTATAAACCATGAACCCATTCAAAAGATAACCATATATGCCAGTGAATCGCCAAAAATATTCCTCCAAAATGCTAATTCACACTCAAAATGGCAGTCGTAAAAAACAGACAGAAATTTCAGATGATTAAAATTAAGGACCTTCTGCCGGTTTTGGTCAAAATTAGACTTTTAAGGACCAAAAATTGATTCCAAAAAACCTAAGGACTTTTAAAGACCGTACAAACCTTGATATAAAATTCAGTTTTTGTTCTTTTGCCGGTTAGAAAGGACAATTCTTGTTAAAGGTCATTGGTCATGATCATAAAGTATCTATGGTAGGCCATAATGTGTGGTCATTTCTTCCATTAGGTATTTTTTATAATCCATGACACTGTGAATCAAAGAACACTGAATGCCCCACCCCATAAAAAAATTTTCAGAAAATTAATTACATGTGTATCTAGTTTCAACCATCATTCTGCATTCAAAAGATAATTCCCATTAGCTGTCATACTCAGGTCTGCAGCTAGTTCATAAGACTCAGAAGATTACAGCTTTTGGCATTAATGAAGCTTTTGCATCCCTATGCATCATTTGAAACTACTAATTTTGACACTGCACTTGAAATTTCCATACAAAAGTCACGATTTTTGGCATTTAAATGCATATTATTCACTAAAGTGCATGACTTAAGTAGCAAACCAAAGACTATTTCTTACTTGAGTATTTTACCTTATACTATTTATATTGATAAGATAAAACTAGATTCAAATATTTAAAAAAAACATATGCTTAAATTATTAATAAATAAGCAGCAGTTTTGTCAACAGAGGAATCACTGAAGAATCATGCCACTCACATTGGCATATGAAAACCTGAACAGTTAAAACATTTTATTAATGATTAACATATAATCATTAAATACAAATGGTTAACTAACTAGTTATGATGTATATTTATAATGATACAATTAAACAATATAAAATTGAATGGATGTAAAACTTTTTGATTAAATATAAGGTAAGTAAAAAATTCGTCCATACTTGGCTATAACACACCGTTAGGTTTGTTACACTGCCTCGAATGCATGCATGCATATGAATTGGTACAATAGTGATCATGTGACCAAAACTTGATCTCAGTTGCATCATTTTCCTTGCAGCTGTAGTAGTGTAAATAAGGCCTCTTTGCTACTAATATGTGCACCATGGCGGAGCACAAAACAGAGATCTGATTTCTCTGGTCAGGTGTGTCAGGAATAGAAATCCATTATACAGTTTCAACACAATATGGAGACAGTGTTCTAGTATATAGTAACATATATGAGGGAATCGAGAAGTTTTAAAATGACCACATAAGTATGAAATGCAAAAAAGGAGCATGACCTTCTCCACATATCAAGAGATTCAAGAAGCTTGGAAGATGATACTGGTGAAGTGGCAAATTACCATCAATGAGACAACATGTACCGTATATACCCGCGTATAAGTCTTCGACATGAAAAATTCGTATAAAATAAGAAACCCGTGTATAAGTCGACCCCCCACTTCCGAAATCGATCAAGAAACTTCGGAAAAAAATTTTTTAAGTACTACATTTATTCAAAATCATCTGAGAAAAAAAAAAGTAAATATACGATAAAAAATACCTTGGTAAATAAAGAAAATCAAAATCCTTCAACATCCGATTCATGGTCAGATTCGCCAAACATTTCATAGAACTCTTCTGTCATCATTGGATCATCATCATACTTTCAGTCTCGAACTCTGTATTGTTACAATCACTACTAGAGCCTTCGTCGTCATTTTCACTTTCAAAAACAGCATCATCTTCCGTGTTATCTAATTCGTTGCTAATACAACATTTTTTAAATGATTCTATAATCATTTCAGAGGGTATTTTGTTCCAAGCATCTTTAACCCACTCAGCAATTAATGTAATATCGGGCTTTTTACTGTTGCCTCCCTTTGTAAATGTTGGTCGACCGGAACTAATCCACTCTGCCCAATATTTTCTAACATTTACTTTGAAGGGCTTATTGAGGCAGACATCTAGGGGTTCAATGACGGATGTCAATCCTCTCGGAATTACGGCCACAGTCGTTTTTAGGTGTTTTATCACTTCTTCAGAAAAGTGTCCACAAAAAGAATCGCATACTAAAAGAGAAGGTTTTTTTGAAAGCTGCTCCCGGTCTTTTATCACACACATTTTTAAGCCAATCGACTGTTCCATCAGCATCCATCCATTCCTTTTCATGGGTGCAAACCAGCACACCTGATGGAAACCCAATGTTTTTCGGTAAAGTTTTTCTTTTAAAAATGATCAACGGACGAAGCTTTCTGCCGTCAGCCAAGCACGAAATAACGACCGTAAAATGGGTTTTTTCATGCCCGGTAGTTTTTATCAAAATGCTTTTTCCCCCTTGCAGTCAATTGTTTTATTTTCTGGTAGATCGAAACACATGGGGGTTTTGTCCATATTCCCTATTTGGGAAAGTTCAAAAGAAGTCCTTTTTCTTACATCGATAATGTATTTTTGAAACTCCATAACCTTTGCTTCCATATCAGATGGTAACTTTTGCGCCAGTTTGGTGCGTTGGCGTAAACACAAACCATGGCGATTCATAAATTTAGTGCACCAATGTGTTGATGCACGAAACGTGTTTGGAACACCATACTTTTCTTCTTTTGCAAGCTTCATTGCTCGTAAACGTAGGCCAATTATTGTGTGGGCTATTTTTTTAAATTTTGATGTGTACGCCTGTTAACAAAAGTATTTCATGAATGAACAATAACTATTATAAAGACTTATACGTACGTAAAAATTATCTGCATTTCTCTTTTCTTGGCATGTTGGCGAAACTTTTTTATTGCTCGATATTAATCGGTTGTTCGGGGGCCGAAAATTCTTTGGTTTAATTGAAACTTACTCTAGTTAAAGTATGAAACTATGATTAGTTCGTCACATAATTTAAGTCATGAAATTACTTCAAGTAAGTTACTTATTTGATAAGTCGTCCAATTTGAGTGCAGGAAGAAAACAACTGCATTATATAAAGAAATTTTTGAACTTCCGATTCTTTTAATTTTTTATGGCCCCGTGTATAAGTCGACCCCCCCCACTTTGAAGTCTTTTTTTTTTTTTTTGTCTTTTTTTCGGCCCTTCCTCTGTGTGAAATTTTAGAAAATCACAATGACAAAAGGTGATATCGCAAATGCATTATATTTCCTTGAAGAAATATTAGAAGGAAAGTCATCTGTGTACAATTTTTTAAAAGTACATGAGTATTTGACCTTCTTTGCAGATATAATTGATACAAAATATCGCAATTTCTTAAACTATTTCTCGAAAGCACGTATGTTCACACAGCAACAAAATGAACAAAATAACAACCTTGATCTTATTTGTACTCATTGGGTAATATGCGTCAGATAACATGCAGTGGCACTCGATGCTCATTGGAGAAATGGAACATTATGTTTTCGGACATGCGTTCTCATTCACAAAGCAGAAGCACGTCATAATTTCTCGCTAATGAAACTACTTTGGCTTTCTATGTAGTCTAGAGAAAAACCAGGTGCTTCCACACACCCTAAATCACTTTTTTGACAATGTAAATAAGGAAGTATTAATACAAGCCACATAAAAATCGTGAGAAATTTTAAGAATAAGAGAACATCGGGAGAAATATGTTGTAAATCGGGTTGATGGGAGAATGGTCGAAAATCGAGAGTCTCCCACCTAAATCGGGGGAGTTGGCAACTCTGTTCAGGCATCACTCATTGAGTCATTAGGAATTTTTTAAGAAGGAGACATGAAAAATGAGCAGTGTTACCTCTTGAAGAATACGCATCGAGTATTATTCCAGTTACACCAGGAAGGCATACAGAAAGGAGGGAGAAAATACCTAATATCATTTTATGAAGGGAAACTTTTAAGAAGGGACTGTATAGCATTAGGCAATAAAGGTACTACACACTCCTATTACCAATCTATAATTCTGATCTATCACACAAATAAGTAAAACAAACTACTTTAAATAAAAAACGAATAAATTATTTTCTCATGGTGTTAATGAATTCACATTTGATAAATTAACTTTTTATTAATTATATTATTTTTCTTTCATATGACCCATAAGCAATAAGCATATTCCAAAATAATTTCACTCATTTTTAAAAGAATGTATGTAAAATTTATATTTTGAATAAATTTAAAACAAATTTTACTTACATTCTGGAATAAAAACTTGCTTATCATCTCAAAAAAGATAATTTTAGACATATTTCTAACACAATAGAATTTTTATATTTGGAAACACATGCCAATTACAATTTTTGTACTAATTTTTTGCATACACATATGGTATGAAAACTCTCCACCAAAAAGAAGAAAAGCTTTTTGACATGAATAAATAAATATAGAATTACTTTGTTTATAATATCTTTGAATTCATTTTAAGCTGAATTAAAAGAAACAAATAAAAATGAAAAGGTTTTAAATAACAGTGGTTACCTGTTGGTCCAGCACTAAAATGAACTAAATACAGCGTACTATAGAAAAGCTCATTTCCAGCACACATGACAAATAATACAGGCTGCAATAAAATTATTAACAGATTAATATGTTGAATTGAATTACACTGTTGATGAAGCTGAAAAAAACTGATCTTGTAAAATAACAAATAATAAATTTCAAATTTTGTTAGTTACATACAAAATCTTGTTTTATTAATAACTTGATAATTTAAACCAGCATTTCCCAACCTTTTCACTCTTATGGAACCCTTCTAACAATTTTCAAGTACTAAAAAACCCCAGTGCCCTCACAAGAATATTTTTCCATAACAATTTATTAATGGTCATTAATGGAAACAAAAATAATGACTACAGTTTAGTCATTTATTTAAAAATATATATAATTGCATGCAATTGGTATAATTCTGAATACACTAATGTTCATGAAAATTGCAACACCATGAAGGAATTATGCAAATTGAACTTAACTTACAGGAAATATAAAGTGAGATCAGACATGCAAATGATTAGATTTACAAAGTGATTGTAGATGCACAGAATGAGAACCAGTCGCTTGTTTCATGTACATCAAGGACTGTATAGTTGTACTAAAATCTGTTTATTTTCCTCTGTCTGCGGTGGGCATTTAATTAGTGGTCAACATGCCTCGTCAACAGCGGAGGGTGACATATCAACAACTAATACAGTTCGAATGAGGCCGCATTGTTGGTATGTGAGAGGGTGGACTTTTGCAGCCCTCATGCAGGGTAATGCCACAACAGTGATGTTTGTTTGGAAGAAATGGACAGAGGATGACAGAAACCTTATCCGCATCACTGTGACAGATTATATAGCATCCTCTCACGTGTTAGCACAATGTTGGAACACAGCTACAGGTGTTATGTTGTTTATCTCCATGCTTTGTCGCAATTATCCAGGATTCCCCAGTCGCTGAATTACAGACACCTCTGACTTCAATGAGCATGGCAACACAGTGCGTGATATGCTCTGTGGCAACAAGCTGTTTTCTCTGATGAATCTCATTGCAATCTGCAGTATGATGATGGAAGAGCAGGCATTATACGTTACACATGGGTAACGTCTGCTCTCATAGTGTTATACTGCACAAGTTATACTGCATATACAAGTTATACCCAGTGTTATACTGCACAAATGAATGGCATCATGGTGTGAGGGGCTACTGGGTATAATTATCGATTCCATCTAGTGCAGACTTGGGACAACCTAAACACTAATCACTATATAAGGGAAGGTGTGGAGCCCGAGGTTCTTCTCATTCATCAGTGCATTCCGAGTGCTGTATTTCAGCACGATAATGCTCGTGCACATGTTTCTCAGACTGCACAGGCCTTCTTTAGGGCACAGCAGGTTTCTCTTCTTCCATGGCCTGCTTATTCCCTAGATATGTTGTCCATTGAGCATGTCTGAGATTTCACTGGTCGGCAACTTGCTTGTACAGCTGCTGAGGCACACATTAAGACTGAACTTTGTGTTAATTCGACAGCATATGGAATGCCATTCCCCAGGATTACATTCAGAACTTGTATGATTCAATGCCATGATGTGCACAGGTTCTTAGTGCTCCACAAGCAGACACACAAAGTACTGATTTCTGACATTAATTTTTTGTTCCTAGTAAATATGATTCTTTATTTGCACCACTATTAGTATTATGTGGAACACATTTCATTCACTTCCAACAATTCCTTCACGGTGTTGCATTTTTCACAAACATTAGTGCATAATTAGGTATAGATAAATAATAAATTTCTTTAGTGCAACAATTTATAACAAACAGTAATGTAAAATCTGCACCTGCTTTTCAGAATATGAATGTTGAATTCAGGTTCTGATTTTTTAATTACACTAATGTTTGTGAAAATTACACCACCATGATGAAATTATGCAAATTGAACCAAACTTACAGGAAATGTAAAGTAAGGTAAGACATGGAAAAGATTAGAATTATAAAGCAATTGCATATGCATGGAATGAGAAATGGCAGCTTGTTCCATGTACATAAAGGATTCTAAAATTGCATTGAAATCTGTTTATCATCCTCTGTCTGTAATGAATATTTAATTAGTGGTCAATATACCTTGTCAACAAGTAGAGGGTGCCATACCTACAACTCTAATAGAGTTTGAACTAGACCGCATCTTTAGTATGGGAGAAGGTGGACTTTTGTGTTGAGCAATTACAGCCCTCATGCAGCATAATATCACAACAATGATATGTGTTTGGAAGAAATGGATAGAGGAGAACCAAAGAAGGTGAAATCCCGGCAGTGGGGCACCGCAAAAGCACAACGGCACTGGACGACAGACACCTCATCTGAAGGCTGTGACAGATTGTATAGTGTCCTCTGGTATGTTAGCACAAGGTTGGAGCACAGCTACAGGTGTTGTATTGTTTATCTCCACAGTTCCTTGCCGTCTGCTGTAGCATGAACTACATGCAATCTATGTTGAATTTCTCTGTCACTCAATCACAGATGCTTCCATCCTCAATTTTACATGGCAACATAGTGTGTGGCATGACCTGAGGCAACGAGTTGTTTTCTCCAATAAATCTCGCTACAATCTGGAGGCAGGCCTCGCAGATATCTCTAAATGGAATAAGCTGGCTGCATATATCAATAGTGGACTTATCTGTGATGTCTGCTATCTTGTTTCTTTTTACCCCACGTGTTCAGGTACCTAACAATACAAAACCTGATATCCACGCTTCCACAAGTTTAAATTTAGCTTAAGAACTTCCACAGCAACAGGGCTGTGAGTGTTGAAGTATGATTCTAATGCTTACAGTGCACTATGAGAGTCAGTATATAGGATGAACTTTTTCTAGTGCAGGTTAAATATGTATGATAAGGCATAATACAGGGCAGTTAATTTACATGTTAGCACTGAGCAAGCCTTATGCAAACGTCTACTTTCCATGCATCTTCCAATAACAATGGAGGCTCCGACATGATTGGCTGCTTTGGAACCGTCCTTGAATGGAAGAATTCCCATTTTTCAGTTCATACTACAACATCATGTGGCATATCACTGATTCGTCCACTTATTGTATTGCTTGAAAGTGGGATATCTTCAGTTTTTCTTCTTCTTTTTTTTTTTTTTTTTTTTTTACAGCATCTTCTATGGTTTTACCCACTATATTTTTACATGCAGGCATTATCAGATTCTCAACAACTCTGTCACTTTTTCTTTTCAGTGCAATAAGCTATGCTACCAAATAACTTGCTTCCTCAGCCTTTTCAGTAACTGTGAATGTATTTAAAAAAGCAGTACTCTGTTTATTTTGAGATTTTTAAGAGAGTTTTAAAATAATCAACAGTTTTATTTTCACATTAGTATGATTTACTATGAAATGTTTTATTCAATTTTGTTACAGCCATTGTTGTATCTAAAAGTTTTTACTGAAAACAAGACACAATGAAAGAGGACATTCCAGATCAGTAGACCATGTAAAACTCATTGATAAATAACTTTCACTGTAACAATGAACCATTTGGGCATGTCTTTTTTTATCAGTCTTTTTAAATTACAAACTCTAAATCTTCAGAATTATCTGTTTCTTTATCTTTAAATACTGAAGCATTTAAAGTATTAAAATCTATAAAGGAATTAAAAATGAGAAATAAAACCAAATAAAATGCTAATAAAACAGTAGAAAAAATAATACTGAAATGAAATAAATAATAGTAAAATAAAAGATACACACTAATACTCTACTCAACCAACCACATGATTACCACTTCCTGCATTACTAATGCACATACAATCACATTAGATTCTAGTCTGTGGCAAATGAAAATCTGCCTTTGGTTGTGCAACTAGGCTCGGTTAGACTCATTTTGTATGCACAGCCTTGCAATGCAAAGAAATTTATACAACTTTTGATGATGTATGATAAGTTTAACTGAGCAAAGCTGAACAGTGAAAGGCAGCTTTTCAATTTTCATCAGCTAGATTGTTAGAATCAGATCTGTTTGCCCCATGAAGTTACTTGAGTACAATTCCAAATCGGGAAAAAAATTATTTTCTCTTTTAATGACGCACATATTATTTTCTCATTTCTTGCAGAACTTTAACAATGTTTCACAGAACCCTGGCTGGGAAATGATGATTTAAACTAGAATTAGTTAAAAGAATTACCACAAAACATAACACTGATATTACACAATTTTAAGTGAAATAAAAATTTCATCAGAGTACATATTTCTTAAATTCCTTATGGTAAAATTTTCAGCCTTTGTATATCAATAAAAAAGTTTTGTAAAACATATGAACATTACTTAAAGAGTAATAAACATATACAATGTGAAACTTACTCTTGATGTGTAATATATTCTAATAATAGGATTAGCAGATGCATCAATAAACTTGTGGCTAGTTTTTCCTTGCATTAGGGACCTAAAGAAAAGCAATATTTTAAAGCAAATTATATAATATATATCATTTTTGGGCTCAATAAATACTAATAGTAATCAGTAATAAGATATTAATTTTTTTTAATTGAACAGTTACGAATTACAGAATTTTTCACAGCTGAAACAAATTGGCCATCATGTGGAAATTGGAATTATTACAAATAGTAAATTAAAAGAAAAATTCCTGAAGCATTTAAACTTTATTACAGTACTTTTCAATCAAACACAAGGCAAGGTATATTATAATACCAATTTTGCAATAACAATAAGCTTAATTAAGTCTCAAAACTTTATCCAGAAATTGGCTGTCACCTTGATGGGTAGAGTGGTTAACATTGCCGGCTGCTATATTGAAGGGCCCAGCTTTGCATCTAAGAGATGGTTTGGATGTTTATAAGTGTATAATGGCTTTGTGGCATGGGGGCACATAAAACATATGGTGAGTCAAAAGTGCTTCAGTGGTAATGGAAAAGAGGTAGAAGGCCACTGGACTCACCCCCCCCAGGGAGATTTTCCTTCAAAACTCAAACAGAACTGGGCCCTGTACTGTCACCTGTAAGGTGCTCAAGACCTCTGACAATGACACAGACAGTACTGCATCAACTTCTTTTGACATTACTGTTCGACAAATGAGATAAATCACAAAAAGTAAAAGTTGGCTAAAATTAAAGATCTCCAAATTGAAGGCAATCCTTACTCCATTCACAGTTCGTGCATGTGTTAATATAAACTTAACAGATAGAAATAAACATATTAGCATAACACAAATAGCATTATGTATAATTGTTTCAATCTCAGAAACTAGCTGTTATGAATAGACCTCAAATCTCTTGTCAGAATTTGGAATATTTTGGAATTTTAGGGATCAGAAATACACTCTAGTTACTTGTGCACTCCCTCTTGAAGACTTTTTGCCTAGTATTTTCAACACAGCGTCTGATTTATGCTAGCAGTGTATATCGATAGATATCAAAATATACTATGCAAGTAAAAGAACTATTTTTGGATAGAGTAACTACAACTACAACAGAGAATGCAGTAATATCTATACTTATAGTCCCATAAGTTTTTTTAGTCTGTCAAGTTTTTCTTTTAACTATTCACCTGAGGACATGGTAACACATGGTGCATAGCTTCCCTCTTCATTTTCAGAAAGTAAAATTAATTTTAAAAAAAGGTAGAGAATATGCAAATAAATATGATAATTAGATCAGAAACACATTTTTTGACTCATAAATACAGATTGAAATAGGTCAGAAATCTGATACAGGGAGAGAATCACAAGCCTCAGAATCTAAATCTTAGATTCAAATATACAACACATCAGTTGAAATATTTTCTTTATTACAAACTACTGGCATATCTTCTACATTGAAAATTATTGATACTATATATAAAAATTAAACACTGTCATATTACTAATTCAAGAATGCAAAAACATGGCCCAGAAATTTATATTTCTACTGAAACAGACTATATTTTTAAGCAAGTTGAATGAGCTTTTTTCTTAAATGAGTAATTTTTTCTTAAATGAATTTAAGCAAGCTGAATGAGAAAATTTTTCTTAAATGCAAATACTAAAATACAGAATAAAACATATAAATCAATTAATTAATATACTGCATAATGTAATACTATACAGTACTACAATATGCAGTAATGTGGAATGTAATTTTGAAATGCTGCATATTGTAGTACTTTTTAAACAATTTTCTCTCTTTCAAAACAAAATTCCAATGTTTAAGATACCCTCCTTTCCTGAACATGTTGATGCCAATGACCATTCATACAGGTTTGGCATCAGCCAAAAATTTTTAATTGTGATTAGGACAGCAACTATATTTGATTTCTAATGTAACAGAAGGAATGCAAGAAAAACAAATTTTGAATAATTATCACTTTATTCTCGACAAAAAGGGCAAATATGAATTATAACATGAAAAATTAAATATAGTAGACCCTCCTATAACATAGGTCCATATAAGACAGATTCACATAACACAGCAGAAAAATTGTGAATGTGTACATATAACACGCTGAAAGAGGTTCACAAAACACAGTAACAGAATGAGACAGATGTGATTTTAATATGTTTTAGCTCCAATAATTAATATAACTTTTGGCTGGCAATTCAGAGTTACCTTGACAAGCACATAACCCTGGAGATCAGCTTGTGAAGACAGACAGAATATTTTATTTTTAGATAGAATATGAAAACAAGAGAACACAAGAAATTGACTTGAGGAGCAAAGACTTACTGAAGTGGCTAATGGATAAATAAAGATCATTCTCAATTTGTCAATGCCTGCCATGGACAAGAATTCTCAGAAGAGCAGAAAATGTATATCCCTTGAAGAAAAAATTAAAAATTTTGGATAGGTTAAAACTGGTGAAAAAGTAATAGTCATTGCTAAGATTTAAAATTAAACAAGGCAACAATTTGAAGAATATAAAGAAATGTAAACAAAGTAAGAGCTAGAATTTCCTCTGGATCTTTAGTAAGTTTAAATAAATAATGCTCATATAAAAGACACTTTAATAACTAAAATGGAAAAGTGCTTGATGTTAGGAATATAAGATTACTCTTCAACGAATTTTCCTTTGAAGAGTAATATGATAAAGTAAAAGGTCACAAAGGTTTACCAGCTTGTAAAAGAGCTTGAATACGTTTCTTCACATTAACATGAATTTAAAGACAGTAAAGGTTGGTTTAACAGATTTAGGAAATGATTTTCCTTGCACAATGTTGAAATTGTGGGAGAAAGTGCATCAGCCGACACAGAAGCTGCGTACCGGCTTCTGTGTTGGGATTCGGAGAGAATTTTCCCAAATAGTAGTAGACAATGTAAATTATATTGCAAATCAGGTATATGATGCTGAAAAAACCATATTATATTAGAAAAAATACCTGGATTACTTGAATCTAAAAAAAATGAAAAGTCAGCTTTGGAATTTAAGGTTTCCAAGGATAGGATTACTTTACTTTTTTGTTCAAATGCATCTGGAGATAATGTTACAAAGCCCTAGTAAATTAACCTTTCATTAAATGAAAGGCACAAGCAATGAAAGAAGTTGATAAGTCAGTGCTTTCCGTTTTCTGGTGAGCAAATAGAAAAGCATGGGTAACAAGTGTTTTATTTCGCTGTTGGTTTTACAATTGCTTTGTGCTGGAAGTGGAAGATTACTCAAAGGGGGGAGGAATCAGTTTCAAGGCTTTGTAACTGATTGAGAATGTGCAGAACTAAGTTTTAAATCAGCTAGTTGTTAAATCAATATTTTTACTACTCAATATGACATCAGTCCTATAACCAGAAGAGCAGGGAATAATTAAATCATTTAAATCGTTGTACACATTTGAAATACGGCACAAATTTGAACACATTTGACAAAATATTGATTGTAATCCAAATACTACTACAGTATCGGACTTGTGAGAAGATTTTTCAATTTTAAATAGCATTGAAATTATTTCATTATCTCTAAAGGAACTAAAATCTTTGAATGCCTGTTGGAAAAAATTATGACCTGATGTTCTTATTAGGGGAAACTGTTTAGCTTCCACAACAACAGAAGTAATGAATATTGCCTACACATTAGGTGGAGAGAGATTCGTTGACATGAATGAGGAAGATAGGTTAGTCTATATTTTAGTAACCCCTTAGATTATCGCCAAGCTGTTGTTTCATTTATGGTAACCTGAGTAGTTGAATGTTATGGAAACCCTATTGTGACGTGATTGGTTGCATGATTGCGGCAAATTTGACCGATGGGAAAATATTCTGTAAGGGCTTTTTTCTGCACTGCATGTGAGTTTGGAAGTACGTTGCTTATTTTGTGGTTTACACCATATGCTGTGTACATGGTATTCTTTGAAATTTATTGTTGTTAATTTATTAAAGCGAGGTGTGTGTTGTTCGTAGATTCCTTCGCTGCCTATATTGTGCAATTTGTAGATTTTTTTTAAGTTAAAATATATCGCTGTGTACACGGATTCTTGTCAAACATTTTTGGTTAGAAACTTTACGTTTTTGCTATCTAAATTTTTTGTTTTTGTTTCGGATTTTTAGCTTAAATTGTGTGTTTAAAACGTGGTTTTTCCAAGTGCAAAAACCACATTTTTGGAGACTAGGCTTAAAGTTTGAAATGTAGAGAAAAAATTTAGATAGTAATATAGCGCCGTGGAGTTTCTCGTCAAAAATGTTTGGCGAAAAATTTGGCAACCCGAGAGCACATATAAAAGTAGTTCCAAACTGAAAGATTGTTTAGCTCCATATTTTGAAGTAAAAGAAGATTCAGAAAGTAACAGTAATAAATTGTTGATATCACAAGAAGATACCCCTTTAACAAAGAAAAAAAAAATAATAATAATAATAAAAATAACAGAAAAGAAACAAGTAAATCTTCAAGCCATGAAACAGAACAACTAACATTTAAAAGAGGATATTGTTAGAATCTAATTATGGATACCTCCAACAGTGAATAAATATCAAAAAAAGTGTAACTGCCTTTTTTTTATTATTTAACACAAAATGAATTTTAAAAAATTTAATTTCAGTATTTGTTTGTTTTGAAGAGAAATAAAAAATATTTTAACACTTACATATTAAATATTTATTTTACATCTTTGTTAACTCTTACCATGCCATTTACCTTGATGAAACTTAAGCCCAAGTGTTATGGGTCAACGCATAGTAAACAAGCCAGACTAATGCTTGAGAACAGTCACAATATGAGCCAAAAAGTAAATGCCTGTGTTATAATCAGTTTTGTGCGATACTGCTGACGCGATAGTAAACTTTAATCCTTCTGTCTTTAATAGATATTATAAAATATATTTTGTAATAAATTACAATTTCAAAATTATATTTCATAAATAAACAACACTTCAAGTAAGTAAACTTTAATCTTTAGTGGAAGTTAACTTTAATTCTTCCTGCTTTTTGCATATATTATAAATATATTATATTTTGGAGGGGTTTATTAAATTTTACTAATTAAACTGCTTTGTAACAGCAATTATGAGAATCGTGACTAACTCTTGTGGTGTACTGATAGGAACTAACGTTCGATTATGACCGTGAATTTATGATGTTAATTTTCACGAGCGCAGCTCATTATGTTTATGTTTGGCCCAGCTTTCTTTTCAAGAGCCTGGCTCATGATGTTTATGTTTGGCCTGGCTTTCTGTTCATGAGCTTGGCTCGTGATGCTTATGTTTGGGACAAAATCTTCATCACAAGTCAGACTCGTTACAGCACAGGAAGGTGTTAAGTAGTACCTGTATATGTTTATGCAAAAGTAAACTATATGTGAACTGCTCAGTTGCCAAAATGGTTTAAGTTCATAAAAGAAAAGGTAGAAAATATGTATTGATAAATTTTTATACATTTCTAATGAAAAAAACAGCCATAAAAAATGTTGCCATATAATACCTTAAGCATGATCATTAAAGAAAATTATTTTAGGGGGGGCTACTGTAAACAGTTTCCAGAAATTCTTAGATGTAATTCGATATATAATCACACTGGTTTTATTTAGAATTTAATTCTCCAGAGTAGAATACATTCTTCAAACTCTAAATAAGCACATCATAAAGCACGCCTTGTGATATGCATGTATGAGTTAGGGATCACATTCCCCTTTGGCATTTTATCCAAGAATTTTTTTTGGGAGGGGGGTTCAACTTTCATTGTCACATACTATTTATTTCATAATACAGTTTTGTATCATATGCATTGATATCTGATGTTTTAAGTTTGTATTGTTACAAAATGTCAAGGCACGGTAAGATAGCTTCTGTGCAAAACAGGTTTAGGGTTGCCAGAAAATGGCAAGGGAAGGCAGGGTTGCCACATTTAGCGGCAAAACTGACGATATGCCATAGATCAGTGGTGCCCAAACTTTGGCCTATTGCGAGCACATTTCCAAAACATCGACATTTTTGTTAAACATATTTCCAATCTTATGTGATACATCTTAAATATTAATTTCGGCAAATGGTTTTGAGATGAATAATACTATTGCTTGAACTTTACGGAAATCAGAGAAGCAGATTTCAAAATTATTTTTTCAGTGCATTGAGATTTTTCAAATATTTCTCTGTTTCAATTACCTTGTGGTTATTAATATGGCTTGATAAATTCTGAAAATGGGTGAAATTTTTTTCTTTCATCTGATTTATCGACAAATTTTACTTTATCTGAAAAGCAGTTACAGTCCCACTCAATTGAAAAAGGTTTTTTTTTTTTCCTTTTCCCTGGAGATCTTCATTCAGTTTGTTCAGTTTAGCTGTTATATCCATGAGAAAATATGAGAAAACACAGATCGGATAACCAATTATTATCGTCCAATTCTTTATAACTTTCATTTCCGGATTCCCAAAACAGCTTTACTGGTGAAAGAAGTTCTACAAATCGTTGAAGTACTTTTTCCCTGCTGAGCCATCTAACATCGGAATGAAGCAATAAGATTCTATGTTCGCTATAAAGTTCATCCAACAGCAATTAATTATTTTATAATGTCTTGCAAGATATCTCTTATGACTATAAATGCTTACTATATTTTAACAATTAAGAAAATATAAAAGAATGGTTATTTTTAAAATCTTTTTTGTTCATAGTAGCTAATCGGGCTGGCGAACACATAGAAAACAATCGGCGAGCACATGGTTGGGCACCACTGCCATAGACGTATGGAGAACCATCTGGAACGAATTCTTACCAGTTTAGCCCAGAAAGCTCTCGAATACAAGCCGAAAGCTATATAAACCCTCCTGGTACGCGGAGAGTTAGTTAGTGCAGAGTCAATCAAGTTGATAGTCAGTCAGTGACTGTTTAGTGCCAAGTTGGTTGTCGAGTGCACCGAAAGAGTCTCTTAGTGTATCACGAGTTAGTGCATCATTGAGTTTTATCTTAGAGTGTGTTGAACGACCAAGTCCAAGAACGACCGAACTAAGTCGGGAGTTGTACTCTAGTGTATCGTTGAGTGCATCACGAGTTGTAGCATGGAGAGTTTCGAGAGTACGTAGAGTTCCGACAACAACCGAGGAGAGTCGGGAGCTGTACTTTGGTGCTTTGCCGTGAAGCTGTCTCCAACATTAATGCCTGATAGTCTGAAGGCTGTGTTGCTGATTGTTTCAGCGTGCTTATAGTAGTTCGTCGACGACTGCAAACATGATTGTGGAGCTGTCTGGAATAATACTGGCCAATAAAGTGCATTTTGTTGCTTCATCAAGTGTTGTTGTTATTCACTCCAAATCCATGAACTCGCACAAAACGTAAAGGAAGAAAATAACGCAACAGTATTTATGTATGGCATCCCAAATAAAAGCCTTCAACTCCTCCCCCCCAACATTAGATAAAATTTGTATAAACATTAGGTAAAATACTGGTTTATAGAAAATACATATTTGGCCATAAAGTTTTTATTATTACAATTCTGATGACCAAAAATTGCAATATTTGTAACAGATTAAGCAATACACAAAAATTAATACACTAAAAATATATAAAATGCAAATGACTACATACGCTTGTTGATGAATCCAGTGACTAGCTATATCAATGGTCATACTCAGTTGGAAAAGAATCATCCATTTTGGATAAAAACACGAAAGGGTTACAAGTAAACACATTGTAGCACAACGGTCAGTTAGCTGGTCAAGCATAGCTCCAAATTTTGTTCCTGCAAATAAAAATTGAAAATAATCAATATATTTTGCTACACACAAGTTTTTGAATTCATGAATAATATATGCATAATTTAATGAAATAAATTATAATGAAAAACTTTGGTTGATATTTAGTTATGAGTAAAACAACTTTTGTCCCTTTACAAACAATGTTATTTAATTTGGAGAGGAAAGGCAATGCATGATACACATCAGCCATTAATACTCACATTTCTTAGTGGATAGCTTGATTTCTTTCTTTTCTAAGACATGTAATGAAGATGTGAAATAGCTTTCAACCCTTATTGATTTCTTTACCACTGGTCAAATATGATGAAAATACAGACAGAAATAATGTGATAAAATTATATAACTATTGACAAAATCTGTTAGACCATTACTGAAAAGATGGAAAACAGAATATTTGCTAAACTTTAAATCTGCAAACTGTACACTGAAGTGACAATAGCCATGGGATACCTCCTAATATTTTATCGGTCCTCCTTTTGCCCGGCGAAGTGCAGCAACTCGACGTGGCATGGACTCAACAAGTCGTTGGAAGTCCCCTGCAGGAATATTGAGCCATGCTGCCTCTATAGACGTCCATAATTGTGAAAGTGTTGACGGTGCAGGGTTTTGGGCACGAACTGACCTCTCGATGATGTCCCATAAATGTTCGATGGGATTCATGTCGGCGATCTAGGTGGCCAGATCATTCGCTGGAATTGTCCAGAATGTTCTTCTAACCAATCGCGAACAATTGTGGCCCGGTGACATGGCGCATTGTCATCCATAAAAATCCCATCGTTGTTTGAGTACGTGAAGTCCATGAATGGCTGTAAGTGATCTCCAAGTAGCTGAAGGTATCCATTTCCAGTCAATGATCGGTTCAGTTGCACCAGAGGACCGAGTCCATGCCATGTAAAAACAGCCCAGACCATTATGGAACCACCACCAGCTTGAACAGTGCCTTGTTGACAACTTGGGTCCATGGCTTCGTGGGGTCTGCGCCACACTCGAACCCTACCATCAGCTCTTACCAACTGAAATCGTGACTCATCTGACCGTTTAGGAACCAACCGATATGCTCACGAGCCCACGAGAGTTGCTGCAGGCGATGTCGTGCTGTCAGTAAAGGCACTCGAGTCGGTCTTCTGCTGGCATAGCCCAAGGAAGACAAATTTTGCCGCACTGTCCTATCGGACACGTCCCACATTGATTTCTGCGGTTATTTGACGCAGTGTTCAGTGTTGCTTGTCTGTGAACATTGACATCTGACCAAGCTACAGTTTTCCATTTGTTTAGGGACCAACCGATATGCTCACGAGCCCACGAGAGTCGCTGCAGGCGATGTCGTGCTGTCAGTAAAGGCACTCAAGTCAGTCTTCTGCTGGCATAGCCCAAGGAAGACAAATTTCGCCGCACTGTCCTATCGGACACGTCCCTCGTACGTCCCACATTGATTTCTGCGGTTATTTGACGCAGTGCTGCTTGTTTGTGAACATTGACAACTCTACGCAGACGTCGCTGGTCTCGTCGTTAAGTGCAGGTGGTCGGCCACTGCGCTGTCCATGGTGGGATGTTATGCCTGAAATTAGATACTCTCGGCACACTTTTGACACTGTGGATCTTGGAATGTTGAATTCCATAACGATATCCGAAATGGAATGACCCATGCGTCTAGCTCCAACTACCATTCCGCGTTCAAAGTCTGTTAATTCTCGTCGTGCGGCCATAATCACACGTCAAAGCCTCTTCACATGAATAACTTGAACACAAATGAAAGCCCTGCCAAAGCACTTCGCATTTATACATTTTCTATGTGATACTACTGCCATCCATATATTTGCATATTGCTATCCCATGACTTTTGTCACTTCAGTGTATAACACCAACAAAGATCAAAGGAGACTTTCAGATGAATGATGTGGTCTTGATTTGAGACAACAGATTGCCTAGAAATATGTGGAACTTGAGCAAAATTGTGAAATTACGATTGTGCAGTATAAAACGTAAATCTGGTACAGTGAAAAGAGCAATACAACTTTTGTATTTGATGGAACTTTCAGAATAGACTATATGCTGATAAAATAGGATAATTTGAACTTGAAAATTTCATTTAGAATTATATATATTATTCTTATTATATTATTAGTTGTTATTGTTCTGTTATCTATTATTGTATTATTTTCCTTATGTAGTTTTGATATTAATTGCAGTAGTGATAATTAATCATTAGTGTTAACTAAATATTGTATGATATTCATTAATTAGATTTAACTGATAAATTTACAGTTCATGGGGTGGAGAGGATGTTATGAATTGATAGCTCTTGCCATTAGGTGGTGTTCTGAACATTTTGTCTCTAACCTTATTCAATAACTTAACTTTAGTTTTTGAAAGAATAAAAATTTAACACCTTCTTTGATAATATGTGTCTAATAATTATGCTTGTAAATAATGTATTACATGTAAACAGTTATCACAGAACTCTGAGCACCACCTAATGGTGGAAGGTAACAATTCATAACAAGGTACAAAGCGAGTCATTTTTTAATTATAATCAAGAAAATAACCGTTTATTCATGACATTTTTAAGAATTTTGAAACTTCAGGGCTAAGCCCATAACACTTAGAGGATTAAGGACCAAAAATACTTTCCAAAAAGACCTAAGGCCTTTTAAGTACTTTTACGGACTGTACACCCTGCATGATTGAAGTGTTTAATTATGGCTCTGTTTACTAAATTAAATTTGTATTTCTTTAGGTATACTTTGAAAAGCTGAATTTTTAAATCCTTCATTAAATGCAAGTTTCAATTTTTGCTTCAGTTAAAAACTTTTACTATTAAATTTTCTCTTCACTTATTATTATTCTTATTTGAAAAGATCGAGAGATTCAAAAAACTTTTAGTGTTCAGGTTTGAGAAAATTTAGCTTTCATCGAATTTCTACTCAAGACTATTACTCAGAAATACTGCTCATTTTCAAATGTGGTCATCATTCCACTGTAATTAATATACATTTTATTATATATAATAAATAATTTTTATTACTTCCATAAAAATGCAAAATGAAACACATAAAAACATGATAATTCAGGAAGGAGAAAAATATATCAGCACAATGAAATATCATTACCAAAAGATAAACTAGCATTTAAGAATTAAGCATATAATTAAAATTTCAAACCTTGATTTAGCCATCTAGCAGCATAACCATCAATGGCATCCAAAAATCCACTTAACAAATAACACATTGTTGCTTTCACATGATCAAATGGCATAAAATAGAAAGAAATAATAGCAAGCAATATTCTTCCATAGCCTGAAAATTTATTATACATAAATGAAAAATTCATAAAATGAGAAAGCACATATGATTGTTAATAAAATTAGAATGATCAAGCAATATTACTAAAATCATTGATTATTTTTATTTATTCATAATTTTCTTAGCAAAACAAAAATAAATAATAAAAATATAGTTTCACTTACTGATAAGGAAAAATTTATAATTTATCACAGTTAAAATACAATCATATCTAAAGCTTTGACTTGAGGAATATATAATCATTTAGTTAGATATTAATATTAATAACTATGACATTAAATATAAAACAAACGTTTCTAAATTTGAAACAACTGACAACTATACATGATTAATATTATATTTTACATGCATGACAAGATGTTATAAAAGAGCATGGGTCAGAGTGGTACTTTTTGATTACCAGGACCACATTGAGAAATGTGTGGGTGTGTATACGTATGCATGTATACATGCATACATATGTTCATGCAAATATACATTTCTGAATCCAGTGCCAACAACAGAAAAGTACTGTCAAAATCAACAAATCGTTATATTTTTTTTTCTTTAATATCAACACTTAGGCAACATAAATTTCATATAAATTCTGCTTCTTTTAAATATCAGTACTTCTCTTTTCAACATGCTAGATATGAGACACTGTATACCAGAAGAATTTATTCAATAAATAAATGAATTTGACCTTATCACACTTTTTTGAAATTACTATATTTTTAAAAGGATGATATAATCTATGCAAAATTCATAACACAGTGGAACAACATTAATACATCTTTCAAGGGACCACTCACAAATGACATATAAATGAGAAAGATTTATAATCGAAATAAATGGTTGATCTTTACATTATGGTAACTTGGCGTATTTTTGGCGAAAATTTGGCGACTAACTCTCCTACAGCAACCCTCTATTTTTTTTTTCCCCGCCGCCATTTTGTCTTCACGAAGTAAAGACATGTTTCTTTTCTTTTTATCTACTGAACACTTCTTCCAACAATCTACTAGCCGAATTACACTTATGCTAGAAATTTTATCTAACAAAACTGCTTAATCATGACAAATATTCACTGCAAAATTGGGAAAAAGTGCACAATACCATACTCCTTACGCGTTTTTGAAAATAACACATACACATAAACCATGTACACGCCGACTTATTTTTACTTAAAAAAACATCCCAGGGTTGATCTTTACAATATGGTAACTGGTAGTTTGGCGACATTTTGGAGGCGATAAAGGTTACTACCTGGGACTTTGGTAATAATGTGAGCAGTACTCAGTTCCGATTACGCATTATTTTGCGTGAGGGAAATGAGAGATCATGGGATATGTCATGTGATATTAATGGACGAATTACGGTTCTTTAATCGGAAAAGGGGGGAAATCAGGAAAAAATGTGGAAATTTTGTATTTAGCTTTATACTGTGCTGTGTGAAACAGTGTTGTTTAATTTTTGGATCCCATGGCCCTAACTAAAGTTAATTCGAAATGGGTATTTAGGCATTGTGATAAAGAGAAGTTTGCTTTTTATTTAGTGGAGGAAGTATGGAAGAAAAATTCGCAGAAAAAATCTTTCAATAATTTTATTGAATGAATTAGAAAAGTGTATCCGCCACGTAATCAAGATTCTGAAGAAGATTAGGTAAGTTAGTATTTTTAATTATTTGAGGATATTAATTTTTATGCATTGTTCTAAATGTAAGGTGGAAGTAAAGGAATTTGGTATTATTGGGAAAATTGTTATTAGCAATGATTTAGTTTAAAGTAATTAGGATTGTAAGGTAATTTTTATTAATTTAATGTATGTGCTCATTTATATTTTAAGTAGTGGTTTTGAATTTAATTATATTTTAATTAAATGATAGTTATTTTGTGAATTTTATGTTTGTAGGAATTTGGTATACGTTTAAGTTGAAATAAACGTGCATGGAAATAATTTAAATATTTGATACTAAGTATTTGTAATGCTTGCGGTATGAATTCGTTGGTGACGTGTATAATGTAATAGATGATTTAGAGGTAAAAAGTTTGTGGATATTTTATTTATTTTATATGTGGAAATGTTTCATATTTGGAAAGGGTAAATACTTTTTCGCGATCAGGTAATTTCATATATGTTCTTTTTACCGGGTTTAAAGATTGAGAAAATTGTCATGTATTTTCGTGAAATTTTTCTAATTTATGAGAAAAAAGCAGTGTACATGGATATAGTGAAGAGTGTGCGCAATGCCATTTTTGTGCAATTCTGGGATGTTTTTTTTTAAGTAAAAATAAGTCGGCGTGTACATGGTTTATGTGTATGTGTTATTTTGAAAAACGCGTAAGGAGTATGGTATTGTGCCACTTTTTCCCAATTTGCAGTGAATATTTGTCATGATTAAGCAGTTTTGTTGATAAAATTTTCTAGCATAAGTGTAATTCGGCTAGTAGATTGTTTTGGAAGAAGTGTTCAGTAGATAGATAAGAAGAAAAGAAACATGTCTTTACTTCGTGAAGACAAAATGGCGACGGGGAAAAAAAATAGAGGGTTGCTGTAGGAGAGTTGGTTGCCAAATTTTCGCCAAGTTACCATAATGTAAAGATCAACCCATCCCAGGATTGTACAAAAATGGCATTGCACACACTCTTCACTATATCCATGTACACTGCTTTTTTCTCATAAATTAGAAAAATTTCACGAAAATACATGACAATTTTCTCAATCTTTAAACCCGGTAAAAAGAACATATATGAAATTACGTGATCGCGAAAAAGTATTTACCCTTTCCAAATATGAACATTTCCACATATAAAATAAATAAAATATCCAAAAACTTTTACCTGTAAATCATCTATTACATTATACACGTCACCAACGAATTTATACCGCAAGCATTACAAAATACTTAGTATCAAATATTTAAATTATTTCCATGCACGTTTACTTCAACTTAAACGTATACCAAATTCCTACAAACATAAAATTCACAAATAACTACATTTAATTAAAATATCACTAAACCATGTACACGTCGACTTTTTTTTACTTTAACTTAAAAAAACATCCCAGAATTGCACAAAAATGGCATTGCGCACACTCTTCACTATATCCATGTACACTGCTTTTTTCTCATAAATTAAAAAATTTCACGAAAATACATGACAATTTTTTTCAATCTTTAAACCCGGTAAAAAGAACATATATGAAATTACCTGATCGCGAAAAAGTATTTACCCTTTCCAAATATGAACATTTCCACATATAAAATAAATAAATATCCAAAAACTTTTACCTCTAAATCATCTATTATATTTAAACGTCACCAACGAATTCATACCGCAACCATTACAAATACTTAGTGTCAGATATTTAAATTATTTCCATGCACGTTTACTTCAACTAAAAACGTATACCCAAATTCCTACAAACATAAAATTCACAAAATAACTATCATTTAATTAAAATATAATTAAATTCAAAAACCACTACTTAAAATATAAATGAGCACATACATTAAATTAATAAAAATTACCTTACAATCCTAATTACTTTAAACTAAATCATTGCTAATAACAATTTTCCCAATAATACCAAATTCCTTTACTTCCACCTTACATTTAGAACAATGCATAAAATAAATATCCTCAAATAATTAAAAATACTAACTTACCCTAATCTTCTTCAGAATCTTGATTATGTGTCCGATAAACTTTTCTTCCTTCTGTTCAGGATCTTTAAAATCATACTTATATTTCACAGCAAGGTACCAGGTAAAATAAATAACTTAATAAACATCTTTATTTCTATCTCTCGCACAACCTTAAAGAAACATTTATTACTACCCTTTTCAATACCACTAAATACCCATTTCGAATTCACTTTAGTTACGGCCATGTGATCCAAAAATTCACGAACACTGTTTCACACAACACGGAATAAAGCCAAATACAAAATTTCCAGATATTTTCCCGATATCCCCCCTTTTCCGATTAAAGAACCGTAATTCGTCCATTAATATCCCATGATCTCTCATTTCCCTCACACAAAATAATGCGTAATCGGAACTGAGTACTGCTCACATTATTACCAAAGTCCCAGGTAGTAACCTTTATCGCCTCTAAAGTGTCGCCAAATTACCAGTTACCATATTGTAAAGATCAACTAAATAAATATATGTGAAGCATACATATATTAACTGCCAAATTTAATACTATTGGCATACTACTGATATTACAGAATTTTATTATGGTACTTTCAATTTGTTTAAAATATTAACCTTTTAAGTCGGGGATTAGATGCTTGTAAGATCCTTTAAAAGATGGGGATTCTCTTACTTTATGCTTTCCCCTTTTAAAAAAGTCCCTTGCAGTTTGCAACAATGGCAGTTTGATTCCTCCTGAAAGAGGTGCATTTCCTTTATTAAAGGAAAAGAAATGTAGGGATTATTGTCTACAATGCTAGACAGTTTTCCTTATGGATGAAAAATTTAAAGGTGCAGTTAATTCCAAATCGGACTACTTTGTGACATGCAGAAGAGAATGTATATTTCTATTAAAGAAAATGTCATTCTTTTTCTCCATATTATAAAAAATATTTGGTAAAAATATATTTACGGGTGCCCCTTGGCGATAATTGGCGGTACATGGAAACCGAGTTTCTATAATTCTTTTGGCTTTGTGTAGCAGTGATTTTTGTGCCAAAAATCTAAAATTTCACATCATTGTACACATTTGAACACATTTTACAAAATTGTGATTGTAATCCAAATACTACTACAGTAACGGACTTGTGAGAAGAATTTTCAATTTTAAATAGCATTAAAATTATTTCATTATCTCTAAAGAAAGTAAAATCTTTGACTCAGAATGCCTGTTGGAGAAAATTATGGACTGTAGTTGTTATTAGGGGAAACTGTTTAACTTCCACAACAGGAGTAATAAATATTGCCTACACCTTAGATGAAGAAGAATTCGTCGATATGAATGAAGAAGATGGGTTAGTCTATACTTTAATGTGCCCCTTGGATTATCACCAAGATATTGTTTCATTTATCGCAAATTGTCGTTTCATTTATGGTAACCCGAGTAGTTGAGTGTTATGGAAACCCCATTATGACGTGATTGGTTGCATGATTGCAATGAATTTGACTGATGGGAAAATATTTGTAAGGGATTTTTTTCTGCACTGGATGTGAGTTAAGAAATACTTATTTTGTGATTTACACCGTAAAATGGTTGTATGTGATGAGATCAACCTGAAGTTTCTGTACGATTTGGATTGAAAGGGGAAAAAAACATTAACTGACTGGTGTGTAAATGAAAGTTTACTTAGTAGTCATTATAAGTGTCCTGTTTGTACGAAGGAAATGCGTATGGTTGAACGTAAAGATCATTTAGATGGCTTTGAATGGGTTTCTCGCCAGAAAGATTCAAATGCTCACCATATAAAGTGTTCCATTAGAAAGGGACCATGGTTTGAGGAAAGTTTTTGGATGCTGTTAAGGAATTTTGTGTGCCACATACTGTGTATAGATGAGATAAGATATATTTCCCTTTTTATGTTAGTTCATTGTTTGTTTTAAAATGCAGTTTATTGAAATTATACATATTTTGTTTGGCTCTAGTGTAGAATTCGGCAAGTGAAAATAGATCGATGTATACATGGGCAAAGTCAAGTTTGTGCGCAATGCCGAGTTTGTACAATTGTCTGATTTTTTAAAGCGAAAATAGATTGATGCGTACATGGACACCGAGTTTGTGCAATCCCTTAACTTGTTATTTTAGATTTGTGTAGCAGCCATCTTGAAATTGTGCCTTGCTGGCCAATCGCCAACTGGTGGCAAATGGCACCCTTAAATATATTTTTACCTTTAAAAGTTATGTTTTAATACATTCTGTATTTCAAGTACTTTAAATTAAAATATATATATATGCTCTGACATAATGCAACAATATGTTATGTAATCAATGGAGTATGAACACAATAATGAAAACATTCAAGTGATGAAAAAGTTTTTAGTTATAGTCTCAGTAGTAAATAACAACTGTCAGAAAAACACAAGAAGTAAAGCCTAGTTAATAACAACATATATATATCTTCAGCATTTTTCATCCTTGCAATAGCGGCATATTATTTTCTTAGTGCATGATAATTACTTACACAAATATTTAAAATAAATAAATAAAAAACTGTATATATCTGTATTAAATAATAAGACATGATTTGTTTGAAAAATTGGCATTTCTTTGTTACAGAAGTCAATGCATAAACCTTTAAAGAAAATCAGAAATTTGCAAGTCATATATTAGGAGATTAAGTTGGCATATTTTAGCAGCCAAGCACAGTATCTCCTTTAATGAGGGAGTTTTTGCATTAAATTTTCATCTATGGAAGTCATTTTCTATCTTTTCACATGCATCCTATTTTCCCTCCGACCCTCCTGCATAGATTTTTCAGGAACTTAAACTATCATCCAAAAACTTAACTGGACATCTACTTAAACAGTAAATGGTAGTAAATAAAAAAAAAAAAGCTTAGAAAGATTATTGTTGATTTAAAAAACACTGAATAGTGATTTAACATGGAATAATTAATGAACTTTACATACTGAGAATGATATGCATGGAAATATGAAGAAAAAAGTGAGATACACTGAAATCTAGTTATATTTAAGTGACGGTATTATATACAAACATTTAAATATCATTTAAACAGTAGCTAGTTTTAAAAATAATATAAATATTACAATTTTCTACTTAACTATATCGTATTCATATATAGGATTCTCATTAAAAGAAGACAAATCTAAAACTTCCAAAGTAAATGAAACTAAGTATTTGAAAACATTTGACAGCATTTGACAGAAACAAGGATTACTTTTTACAAAGCATGTCAAATCTACCATGTGAAATAAAAAAGATAGACGTTCCTTGCCGTTTCTAAAAAAAAAGCAATTCAAACATTACATAATCACTTTCACCATCAATAGTCATAAATTTAACTTGGATCAACACAAATTTCATTAAGTGCTACAATGAAAAGAGTACATGTAACATGAAAATTTTAACCAAAAAATAATCCTGGAAAGTAATCAATTAAAACATTTCCAATCTGCACAAGATCTTGAAGAAATTACACAGCGTAAATTGATAAAGCCGGTTTAAATACTGACCTGGAATTTTCGGAAATGAGCTCTAACAGATAAAAATACAGATCGTTAATCTTAAAATATGCATAAATATCATTCAGTGTACGGGGAGATACATTGCTATATTTTTAACTTACCTATTAAATTTGGCACAAAAAGGAAAATATTTTCAGCCATCGTTAAGTTAACGAGATCATAAAACCACTACTTGCTCTTCAATTCGTAAACATAGGAATTGAAGTTAAAGTAAACATATGCGGAAACTATCACATAAAAAAAATGGGCTAAATCGCAGAATAAGCTGCATCAGTCGATGCTGTGTTTACTTCTCTTATGCTTGGACACGACTTTTTATGACGTAATATTGGTTACGCCTCTTCTTAAAAACAAGTTATAAGTATTTAAAGAAAACTTAAATTATATTTTAACTGAGTTGAAATGGTAGGTTTATAATGTTCTGCGCGAGATTTTTTTAATTATAAATCTACTTTTGTGTGTTGTGTGGTAGTGTTAGCATTTAACGCAACGAATTATCTCTCACAAAGGTATTATTAAGATAAGAAACGATTGAAAACGATCATTAGCAAACGACTGAAAATATTGAATGCATGAATTAAAAATTATAACCGTAACTTCTGAAAATACAGAAAAGAATTCTTTTGATTATTGAGATTTCCAGCGGATGGATGGCGCTGCAATTACGAAAGCTGGAGGCAGTGTCTAAACATAGCTCCGAAATTTTTTAAATAACTGTTTCAGTAAATATTTTCAACTCTCTAAAAAAGTTTAATGCACCTTTCCTATGCAATGTCTCTTTCATCAAATTGAAAAAGGAAACTTCGCTTCATCGAAACTTCAGGTGTTTTGTTAGCTGTTTACTATCAACACGAGAAATCCAAAAGAGGCCCTGACACGGAATATTCAGATAAGTAACATTCTGTTCTCTATACAATATATGTTTCTCTATCACTAGAGTGCAATTAAATTATTTATTTATTATTTTTCATAAGATTCTAGCATTATACAATAGTTAGTAATAGTAGCAAGTCATGTGGTTCTTTTCTTCGTAACTATTCCGTAGAGACGCCACATTCCTTATCAGTAGTCCGTTCTTATCAGCAATTCACACCCTTCGGAGGCCCCCCTCTTCGTGCTTAGGAATTTCTTGAGAGGGAAAAAATGGGGATCTCTTGACCATCGATGAGTATAGATTGTGATTTTTGTAACTAAGATCCCCGACTTTTTTTTTTTTTTTTTTTTTTTTTTTTTAGGTCTCAAACTTAGAATTATGAGCAAATAAAAATACAGTGTGACGGAATTTGTTAAAGTTGTACTATAATAAATTACAACGGTTAAATTAATAAATTAATTAATTTATATTTAACTAATATTTAAGAAAAATAAACTGTGTAATTTATTTTTGCTGAAATGCTCTCACACTGTGTATGGATTTATGATTTTGTCAATTACTGTTTTTATGAAATATACATGAATTTTTTGGGAACGGTAATATTTAATGTTACTTTAGTTAAAATATTATGTACATCTCTGTGATGATATATGTCTTTTCTTGTTAGGTCTCAAGATAACGGCATACACATTACCATGTAGGAATTCATTCATTCATTCATTTATTTTTTTTTAACTTAGCTAAAGTTTGCTTCTTAAAGACACGAAAATTTTTGAAGATGAACTCCTTAACTACACTCATGGACACAATCGTATTTTAGGGTATTTTCTACTTCTTTTCCTTTTCTTTCTATAGGCCCTTTTTTTTTCCCCTCTATTATTTTTGGGCCATTTAATTTAAATTTTATTTTGTCCCATCTTTTCTTTCTGGCCTTTTGAACTCGTACAAAATGTACGAAGTTCCTTTTTACTCTCCTCAAATACGAAATTGCCCCTCTTTCTATATACCTTTCCTTCGCACCTATGCTTGATTTTTCGCCCATCGGTGCAGAAAGACTTAGCGGGTGCAAAACAAGACATCTGTCTACTTTGTCTGTCTGTGTCTGTCTTTTGATTATTGAGGAATTTGGCGCTGCGATCACGAAAGCTGGAGGCAGTGTCTAAACATAGCTCCGAAATTTTTTAAATAACTGTTTCAGTAAATATTTTCAACTCTCTAAAAAAGTTTAATTCACCTTTCCTATGCAATGTCTCATTCATCAAATTGAAAAAGGAAACTTCGCTTCTTCGAAACTTCAGATGTTTTGTTAGCTGTTTACTATCAACACGAGAAATCCAAAAGAGGCCCTGACACGGAATATTCAGATAAGTAACATTCTGTTCTTTATACAATATATGTTTCTCTATCACTAGAGTGCAATTAAATTTCTTTATTTATTATTTTTCATAAGATTCTAGCATTATACAATAGTTAGTAATAGTAGCAAGTCATGTGGTTCTTTTCTTCGTAACTATTCCGTAGAGACGCCACATTCCTTATCAGTAGTCCGTTCTTATCAGCAATTCACACCCTTCGGAGGCCCCCCTCTTCGTGCTTAGGAATTTCTTGAGAGGGAAAAAATGGGGATCTCTTGACCATCGATGAGTATAGATTGTGATTTTTGTAACTAAGATCCCCGACCTTTTTTTTTCAGGTATCAAACTTGGAATTATGATCAAATATAAATACAGGGTGACGGAATTTATTAAACTTGTACTATAATAAATTACAACTGTTAAATTAATAAATTAATTTTATATTTAACTAATATTTAAGAAAAATAAACTGTATAATTTATTTTTGTTGATATGCTCTCACACTGTGTATGGATTTATGATTTTGTCAATTACTGTTTTTCTGAAATATACATGAATTTTTTTGGGAACGGCAATAGTTAATGTTACTTTAGTTAAAATATTATGTACATCTCTGTGATGATATATGTCTTTTCTAGTTAGGTCTCAAGATAAGGGCATACACATTACCATGTAGGAATTCATTCATTTATTATTTTTTTTATTAAACTTAGCTAAAGTTTGCTTCTTAAAGACACTAATTTTTGCAGATGAACTCCTTAACTACACTCATGGACACAATCGTATTTTAGGATATTTTCTACTTCTTTTCCTTTTCTTTCTTTAGGCCCTTTTTTTTTTTTTTTCCCTCTATTAGTTTTGGGCCATTTATTTTAAATTTTATTTTGTCCCATCTTTTCTTTCTGGCCTTTTGAACTCGTAAAAAATGTACGAAGTTCCTTTTTACTCTCCTCAAATACGAAATTGCCCCCCTTTCTATATACCTTTCCTTCGCACCTATGCTTGATTTTTCGCCCATCGGTGCAGAAAGACTTAGCGGGTGCAAGACAAGACATCTGTCTACTTTGTCTGTCTGTCTGTCTGTCTTTTGATTATTGATTTTTGGGCCATTTATTTTAGATTTTATTTTGTCCCATCTTTTCTTCCTGGCCTTTTGAACTCGTACAAGATGTACGAAGTTGCTTTTTACTCTCCTCAAATACGAAATTGCTCCTCTTTCTATATACCTTTCCTTCGCACCTATGCTTGATTTTTCGCCCATCGGTGCAGAAAGACTTAGCGGGTGCAAAACTGTCTACTTTCTGTACTGTAAAACTGTCTGTCTGTCTGTTTTTTTGATTATTGATGAGTGTGTTAAAATCGGTGCTTACTGCAGAATGGATGAGTATCTGAATCTGGATTTTTTAATCAGTTGGAGCGAACAGGCAAAAAGAGCGTTATTGAGCGGTGTATGGAGAAACGTTTGATTGCAATATCGTATAAGTGCCCAATTTGTGGAACAAATATGAAACTAGTAGAGAGACGGTTTTGAGACGTATAGACGATTTGAGTGGTGCGCAGTGCCGAGTTTGTGCAACTCTGAGTTGTTTTTAAGTGAAAATTGATCGATGTGCACATGGGCAAAGCCAATGCTGTGCGCGATGCCGAGTTTGTGCAATTCTGAGATTTTTTTTAAGTGAAAATAGATCGATGTGTACATGGGCAAAGCCAATGTGGTGCGCAATGCCGAGGTTGTGCAATTCTGGGATTTTTTTAACTGAAAATAGATCGATGTGTACATGGGCAAAGCCAATGTGGTGCGCAAAGCTAATGTGGTGCGCAATGCCGAGGTTGTGCGCGATGCCGAGTTTGTGCACTTCTTGGATGTTTTTTTAAGTGAAAATGAATCGATGTGCACATGGGCAAGCCAATGTGGTGCGCAATGCCGAGTTTGTACAATTCTGGGATTTTTTTTAAGTGAAAATAGATCGATGTGCACATGGGCAAAGCCAATGTGGTGCGCAATGCCGAAGTTGTGCGCGATGCCGAGTTTGTGCAATTCTGGGATTTTTATTAAGTGAAAATAGATCGATGTGCACATGGGCACAGCCAGTGGGGTGCGCAAGGCCGAGGTTGTGCGCGATGCCGAGTTTGTGCAATTCTGGGATGTTTTTTTAAGTGAAAATAGATCGATGTGCACATGGGCAAAGCCAATGTGGTGCGCAATGCCGAAGTTGTGCGCGATGCCGAGTTTGTGCAATTCTGGGATTTTTATTAAGTGAAAATATATCGATGTGCACATGCGTAAAGCCAATGTGTTGCGCAATGCCGAGGTTGTGCCCGATGCCGAGTTTGTGCAATTCT